CTTGTTATTGTCTCTTTTACAAAATTATAGCCATCCTGATGGCTGTGAGGTGGTTTCTCATCATGATTTTGATTTGCATTTCCCTGATGGCTAATGATGTTGAACATCTTTTCAAGTGCTTATTGGCCATCTGTATATCTTCTTTAAAGAAATTATTAAAATCCTTTGCCCATTTAAAAAATTGAATTACTTGTCTTTTGAGTCGTAGGAGCTCTTTGTATATTCTGGATATTAAACTCTTATCAGATATATGACTTACAAATATTTTCTCCATTCTGTTGGTTGTATTTTTACTTTCTTGATAGTGTGTCTTTTGATACCCAAAAGTTTTTAATTTTGATGAAATCCAATTTATCTTTTTTTCCCCCTTTGATTTTTATTCTTTTGGTGTCATACCTAAGAAAACATACCTAATCCAGATTTATAGTTATGTTTTCTTCTAAGAATTTTATAGTTTTAGCTCTTATATTTAGATCTATTTAATTTTTGTACATGTTGTGAGATAGGGGTCCAAATTCATTCTTTTGCATGTGGACGTCTAGCTATCCCAGCATCATTTGTTGAAAGATTATTCTTTCTTTATCGTATTGTCTTAGTACCTTTATTGAAATCTACTGACCAAAGATGTATATATTTATTTCTAGACTCTCAATTCTATTCCATTGATCTATATGTCTATCTTTAAGCAGGTACCACACTATCCTGATTACTGTAGCTTTGTAGTGAGTTTTAAAATTGGGAAGTGTGAGTCCTCTTTGTTTCTCTTTATTAAAGTTGAGTTATTCTGGGTCCTTTGCAGGTCCACACGAATTTCAGTGTCAGCTCATCATTTTCTGCCAAAAAGGCAGTGGAATTTTTAATAGGGATTGCATTAAATTTATAGATTTGGCAAATATTGCCATTTTAACAATATTGTCTTCCAATTCATGAACACGTGGTATCTATTTATTTAGTTATTCTTTAATGTCTTCTGATGATGTTCTGTAGTTTTTAGTGTACAAGTTTTATGCTTTCTTTGTTAAATTTATTCCCAGGTTTTTTTTTTGATATTATAAATGGAATTTTCTTAATTTTAGTTTTGAACTGTCCATTGAAGGGTATAAAAATACAATTGATTTTTGTATATTGATCTTGTATACAGCAACCTTGCTGATCTTATTAGCACTACTTTTTTGGTGGATTCCTTAGGCTTTTCTAATATAAGATCATGTCAAATAGATTACCTACAAATAGATTACCTTCTTTCTTTTCAATATGGATGTCTTTTACTTCTTTTTCCTAGTTGTTCTGGCTAGAACCTCTAGTACAATGTTGAGTAGATGTGGTGAGAGTGGACATCTTGTCTTGTTCATGATCTTAGGGAGAAAACTTTTAGTCATTCATCATTAAGTTTGATGTTAGCTGTCAGCTTTTCATTGATGCTCTTTATCAGGTTGAGAAAGTTTCCTTCTATTTCTAGCGTTATCATGAAAGGGTGTTGAATTTTGTCAAATGCCCTTTCTCTATCAATAATCAGATGTTTCTTCCCCTTTACTGTGTTGTCATGGGGTATTACATTGACTTATTTTTATATGATGAAACTATCTTGTATTCCTGGGATAAATGCTGTTTGGTCATGGTGGATGCTTTTTTGTGTTGATAGATTCAATTTGATAGTATTTTTGATGATTTTTGCATTTGTGTTCATAAGGGATATTCATGGTCTATAATACTTTCTAGACAATGATGGACAATATAATAATGACAATCCTTTGGGAATGAGGCTGTTTTGTTTTTTTCTGGCGGCCGCTAGGCTGCATTGGCTATGTTGGCTGTTGTCAAAGGCTACTGCAGAGCTGGAATGAAGAATGCAACTAGAGTGAGTATAACAAAGGTCACTGTTCTTACCGAGATTCAGAGGTCCTTGCTCTGCCCCTTTCACTGACATCACTTGGCAAAAGCTGTTAGATAATGTACAGTATCTTATGCTATTCCTGTTAGTCACCTAACTGCAGGCAACCAATGGCCTTTCCTCCCATACCCCTAACACACTTATTGGAACCTACATGTGCGAGAAAGGTCTTCTCCAGAAGTTCCTTCTCCTTGAATTCTCTTCATTCACATTCTCTTAGATTTTGGCATGTCTTACCATGAATATTAGAACCACAAGTAACTTTTCTCTCATTCATGCTAGGTCCTGCTATCTTTGTGGCAGACATGAGGGTTCAAGAAGCAGGACATCAAGTGATTCAGTCAACATAAAAAACGCATTTGGGTTGTTTCTATAAGGTCTGAGGCAATATTACTCACAGTACCTGCTGTTACTCTGGGTACAGAAATGAACTAACTTGCCATTTTGGGGAGGTGAGATTTACATTAGCATAGAGTCTGAGTTTAGAGCTTAGTGCCAACTGGTCCAATGCCAAGCATTGTGCCATCTTCATTTTTAGCTGAAGGTGAAGCAAGTTACATGCCATGGACAGGACAGCTGAGCCAGCAGGCATCTAAGAAACACTTTCAATCAACCCAGATCCCCTCTCTTCAAATGACAAGTGATCCTTGGGTTAACCTATCACATGCTTTTGGGTTAACCTCAGTAGAACCCTCGTATTTGCTTTTGCAGATTAGTTCACCATCTCTCTATCCTTTCCTGCTTTCATTACTTACTTCAACATTCTTCTTCAGCACAATCTTATGGTGTCTCACATCATAAATTCTGTAATCCCTAGTGCATAGGACCTCCCCCAAACATCAAAATCTCAAGTATCTATCCAGTTATTCTCACAAATCTTTCTCTACAGAGTAATCAACATCTGATATCCTTCTTGTCTGTCTTCCTGACTAAAACATCAGCTTCCTGAAGGCAGGGACTTTATAAGGTTCGTCATTGTATCCTTGGTGTTTAAAACAGTGCCGCAGAGTCTGTACTCAAGAAATTATTTGCTGAAGGGCTAAATAGGCCTAAAAAAGGTAAAAAAATCCCACCCTTCCCCTTAGAGAATGGTGAAGAGGAAGAAATATCTTAAGTGGAAATACCACTTCAGCCTGTATTTCAATCCTAAGATAGATAATCATGAGAACGGTCAGAAGTGTGAAATAGCCACAAGGAAATGAAAAATTACACAAAAAGAGGAATGAAGCAGGGGAATGGAGAACTATACAAATTCTAGAGAGGGTGAGATGGAGAAATAATCTAGATAGTGGAGAGCTTTATACATCAGTATTTTTAATGAAAGTAGTCAGTAGCCAAGCTTCATTTTTCTATCCTTTGTTCGATTAGGCTGATTGGGAAGGGACAGTCACAGTAAGACACAAGCGGGGACCGGTGCTACATTCTTCTGGAGTTTGAGGTAGACAAAAAGTCTGGTTCTTCCCCTTTGGAAAAGAGCACATCCAACACCTAATCAATCAGTTTTGTACTGCCAAGGAAGAAATTACCAATTCAAAATACAGTATTGCTACCTAGTTTTACATCTGAACCACCTACCAAGGGGTACCACAAGCAGGGAAA